GGGGTCCGAGGAACGCACACCACTGACGAGACCCGGAAGGTCGAAACAACTATTTGATGCTTTTGTAGAGGTGTCGAAGCCTGCTGACTGGGTGGGAACTGCGACGAACTACGTCTGAAATTATTTTGACTTCACCTGATTTAGGCACTACCATCATATGTTCCGTGATTTCTAGCCGAAATTTTAGTGTGCTTGTTCACTATGTACTTTTTGCCACACAAGTTTATGTAGGAAGCTCATTTTTAGTTGTAATCTGCGCAGCCATGGATGCTCAAATTTTACTTCGTTACCTCTATCCTTATAAGAAACATGTATGGAGTAGCAGTAGACGCGTTTGGTAATGGCACCTTGAACGTTTTTATGACCCCTAAGTCACATTTACCCCGATCGTTAATGACGAAAAATACTTACTCATTCTTCGATATTTCTAGTTCTTGCTTCACTTACTTTATAACGGGACCACGCTGTGCGGTGTTCAATGCTTTTTGGTATGTGTAGTCTCACTGAATTGAGCGATTATAATTAAATACCAAGAAGTTTCACAACCGTATGTGGACTATCAATGGTGTTGGTTACTACCAATTGACAATGAAGACTGTTATTTTGACGATGTGCTTGTTAGAGTAGTCGCTTGTTCTTCCTGTGCCCCACCTACCCCTGCACATAAACTAATCCGAGTCTTTTGAACAACTAAGTTGTTTCGACTTGATTGACTGCGGGACCTCGTCATTAGTTAGCGACGTTGAACGACCTGGTGCATTCGCGCAGAATCAACGACATACCTGTTTTCGGTCGCTTGCACCTAACTATTATCGTTTAAACCCACCAACTTTTATTTGTTTTTGATCCCCACTCCTCTCTCTGGCTATCCTTCTATTTGCTTTTGCCCCTCCATTCTTCGACACTGGTCAGTGCGATTGGATCTAGTGTGTAATCCATTGCACGGACAGCGTTCATTTAACTGAACTGGATGACTGACTGTTAAGCGTGTGCACTGTTGCACATTGATTCCTCCGGATGCCTCCTCCTGTTCTGATCCGATGTTGTTTCCGTTATTTATTTATTTATTTAGCTAACATTTGTGCTTTATTGCGTCATTTATTTTGAAGTGAAAGCTCGTGTGTGTTTGTGAATGCAGCGTGACCATGCAATAGGCTCCTATCATTTGTTTCCCAACTCCTAGATCATTTACCCTCATTCTCCATTCCGTAATTCAAGCGGCCACTTCACCGCTATTTATTTGTAATATCAACCCATCCACTATGGCAGCTTACTCTCTGGCTCGTGGGATTTGATCAGCCTTACCATTTCAGATTAAGGCTTCCTCGGGGTACATACAAATAAGATAGCAAACCGTCTGTTTCCCTATACCTTTACCGTCTTCACTGCACTTGCCTTCAGCTTTTATGCATGTGGGCTTCGGGATCAAATGTGATTTTCCCATATTCTACCGAACATAGTGAGTCGTAGAGGTCATTTGATAATTTATGAGCCATGCTTGGTTCACTTAAAGCTAGATTGCGGTCACCTGTGCTTACTGCTATGGGAGCGTGTATGTTGCTCATCCGTTTGTTTCGGTCCTTAATGTCCTTCGATAGTTACTTGTATACCTAACAAATTTCATCATGTGGCACCCTTCCATGACGTATGCCACTGACGTTATAATGTTACAACCTTGAAAGATCCACTTGCAGTCTACACTGCACTTCTCCCAGGGGAGTTGCACTACTTGTGTTCCCTTCTCGATCGAGTCCTCATTGCCGTTTGAACTCATCACATGGAAACACTAGATAGTGCAATTCGAAACGAACTGTCAGCAAGTATCGTTCATCCACATACCACCTTCGTCAACCTCCATCTCTCCCTCTGCTTACCACCTTTATCACGTGCTAAGCAATCTGGAAACTTTCGTGTTGCACTTACATCGATAATTTCTACTTCTATAAAGATGAAGTGGAACAAGAATCCTGTTCCATACTATTAGGTTTGATAATAGTTATTGCGTTTTCTTGTATTTTTATTTCAACATGTTTTTTTAAAATAATTTTAACATTGCTTTGGTCATGTATATCATTTTAAAGACTGTTTTGCGCTCTATCCTAATGATACTAATAGTTTAGATCAGAACCACGTTTCCACATTTTTACAGAGCATTTAATGCAACATGGACAGAAAACATGTTCACATAATTTTCTTGTGCCAATTTCCTTTCCGAAATGCAATGGAAACTGCCTATGACATCAACAGTGCGTTTGATGCTGGAGCCACTAATAACCGTATTACACAATGGTGGATTCAACACTTTCGGTGATATTACGAGAGACTGGAAGAGGCAGAGCGTTGTGGATGACGATTGGAAGTGAACATCGATCAATTGAGGGCTTTAATTAAAGTGGATCCGCGTAAAACTATTCTAGATTTTGCTGCTGACCTAATAGTATCGCATGTGACAGTTCTGAAACATTTACTGGTGATTGGAATGCCAAAGAGCTTGCTAAGTGGGTGCCACACGAATTGAATGTGACTCAAAGGAATCGTTGTTTTGAGGTGTCGTCTGCCCTTTTGCGCAATAAGATCGACCCGTTGCTCCACCGGATTGCGATTTGCGATGAACAGTGGATGCTTTACAACACGACGACGTACATCTCAAGCTCCAAAACATTTCACAAAGCCGAAATTTGCACCCAAAATGGCTTGGTGACCTTTAGGTGATCTAAATCCAGAGGAAACTATTAAAGCGGAGAAGTATTGTCAACAATTTGTCGAAATGCACCGAAAACTTCAACACATGTACCCTGGCACTGGTCAACAGAAAGGGGCCAATTCTTCTCCATGATAACACTCGGCCACATGCCGCACTAACAACCCTGCGGAAGCTAGATGATCTGAACTACGAAACGTTGCCTCACCCACCATACTCCCTTAATCTCTCACCTACCGATTACCACATTTTTAAGCACCTGGATAACTTCCTCAGAGAAAAGTTTTAAAACTCAAGGAGATGGTGAAACTGCCTTTGACGATTGCATCTCCACCAAAACTTCGGAATTTTATTCATCTGGGATAAATAAACTTGGTTTCCGGTGGCGAAAGTGTGTCGATTCAAATGGTTTTATTTTTGTATAAAAATGCTATGTTTGTGCCATGTGTATTTAAAGTTTGAGATTAGAAACCGTAATAACTTTGTTACCAACCTAACATCTTTCTTCGCCGTTGCGGAAGGATGACGACAACTCGCTGGCATTGCTCTTTTGGACACTCTTTGTCGCGGGGAAATGCTTCTTTACTGTTGGTTGCCAGTTATCAACCGCACCACTTAAATGCGCTAACAAATTTACCCTCTCGTCATACACATTCACTGTTCAGTGAGCTAGTGTTTATGACTTCCGCTGTCAACGAACACATGCGGGCTTTCACTCCGATTCCCCGTTGCATCTGTTTGAAAATCTATAACTGCGATTCCGGTTATGCAGTGCGGTTTTGGGAAAGGACAACAACGAATACGGACTCACATGTATCGTGTAATGCGCAAATTCATTGGATGCGTCGAAGCGGACCTAATAATAGCCTTTTACGGATGTTACATATGTGACCCATAAACCCCTTTTGGATGCTTAGTCATTTTCATGCACGTAAAAGTCCTGACATGATTCGGTTTATCGCATTTGTCTACGCTGTACACTTTTTCCTATAACATATTGTGCCGCAGCGTCTCGTCTGTGAGAGACATACTGCTTGACTTCAGCAGGACAAATGGAATGCAGCTTGACTGCAATATCGCTCCATTTCTCTCTAGCCTTTTTAAATGAGAAGAAGAAAATGGCACCAATGATACGGCAGTACCCCGTACCGACGCTTCGTTACCACGCGACCACCATTGGTCAATAAGTATGATGAAGCTAAACGAATGTCCGAGTCAGTGTGCTGTATCGGCTAGGAACCCTGTCGAATTTGGCACAGTCACAGATTCATTAATCAGCCTGCATTCGTTCTGGCTATTACTTTTTCAGTCTTGCGATTTACTTGTTTTCACTTAATCTCCTCAGGCTGATATTTCCCTTCTGTCATTCTCCCAGTCTTTTTTCCGCTTGTTATTTCCATGCCAACATAAGTCAGGGCAACTGGATCCATCGCTCTTCCTTTTCGCTGGACTGAATCTTGTCGACACATCAGAGACCTGTGAACTTCCACTACTTCTATCTGTTGAATGGACATAACTGCACTATACTGTCTTATTAATTTGTTTGGCACCCTTTCACTTTTTCCGCTCTCCGTTAAGCCAAATTATCCAGTCTATCTGAAAGCGAACCCCGATAAAAATGAAATACACTAGCTAGTGTCAGTCGTGCATGGTGCCCAAACAGATGGAACAGTGCAGCTAGTTCATTTTGCGTTGCGATGATATATGAAGCCCTGCTTACCGTGGCGTGACTAGTTCCTCGTCACTTTCCAACTCAGTCTCGTGTCTCGACCCTTTTTATACTGGTCGTATTAAGGATGTTGACAGCTTCTTTTTCTCTATTCTTCTTTAGCAGCTATCTTCCCTAGTGCCTTGCACTTCTTCCCTAGTTGCTCTTTGTAAAATTTCTCGAACTCCTTTCCGAACAGCATTGATAACATCCAAGTCGGTATATTTCCATGTGTCCGGCACATGTATCACTGCTGCCCCGGACCCGTTAGTTCCTTTTTTCCATTCAGGTTCATTTGTTTTCCGTCTGCTCATGCTCCTTTTTTCTGCAAACGTTCATCGTACAAGGCATGCTCCTCGATCCTTGTTTTATAAGATAGGTGGATATATACTTTGTTTTAAACACTTGTACGTTGTAGACTTTCCATTGCATGTATTCGGAAAACTCATGTGCCTAACGAAACTCGGTTGATAAATGTCTCGAAATTCACTTATAGTGTTTCGTGTGAGTGGCTATTGTCTCACATGATTTTTCGTTTCTAAGTATCACCTATTCTTCCTCCGCCTTTTCTTTTTTCGCGTGCCTCTTTAGGAGCCCATTTCTGAAGACACCCATCGATTTGACAAGGAGGAAACCGGTGTGTTTTCTTGTCTGATTATATGCACCACATAATGAGCATACCTACTTTTCTTTTGGCTTTATATGTCCGTCTATCTTGTTAAGGCCACTTCCCCATTTGTAAGCTGTTAACCTTTTACAACCCTCTATCGTACTGGAATAATATATCTCTCATGGGCACTCTTGTGCTCAGTCCCTTGCGCCGAACTGCCGTTCATTCCGTCAATATCTTTCGCCGTCTTTTTTCCTTGATTACCATTTCTTCTTGGATTTTTGGCTACCTGAACAAGGCTGTTGAGTCCACCACACTGATGCCCGGATTACGGCTGATCACCGATGAGGAAACCGATTTACAAACATGTTGTATCATAGAATCTGAGTTCGATTGATTCAGCTAGCTACCGTTTCCTTGGGTTAAATATGTCAGACAGTTTTGTTTGACAATTGATCACACCTAGGTATCGGATTTTTGTCTTCTACTATGGTGCACAATTTAACCTTTGTTCTTTGATTCCATTACTTCGGTTTAGAAACGTTATTCCTATATCCAGTCCATGATTACCTCCTTCACTCAGTTTACAAGCTAGTGTGTTTCACCGACGTCTTGATTGTCTGAAACTGGACTCAGGTCTAGTCAGTGCCGTGTTTTTCCATATCGATCCTAGTGTATCCAATATTTCCCCCTTCTCTATTGCCTGAGGAAATAAAACTTTGCTGTCACAGCGCAAGCGTCAACACATGCCCCCTCTAGCGTTCACTGTTTTCTGTTTGGTATCTTATTGTCCCACTTGTCAATCATTTTCTATGTCACTCTTTCACGCTTTTAGTTTTCTTTCATTTTAAACTAGCCGTTGTCATAGATACTATTCTTTACAATATCATTCTTCAGGCGATTCGGCATCCAGCGGATCGTGGAAAAAATCTGACTTGCACGCCAACGTTATTGGCAGTTCGTCCCAGCAGGGTTCAACCTTTTTGGATTCTGAATTCACGGGATCCAAGGATGATCACTCATCCAGTTCAACCTCGACACTACCTAATTTCTCGCCCAGGAGCCATTCTCTCGCTAGTCGACTAAAGTCATCACGGCTTCTCTCTCCCGGCGTGATGAAGTCTTCCAAGCGAACTGGGGATGATTCGGGTGTCGGCGGTCCTAATTCTCTCGCTTTGTTGGGACCATCACGCCATTTGGCCGGTGTTGTCGCCAGCCTTAGCACCCTGCCGACTGACCCACGTACTTCTCCTCTTGATGCTGCGGCTCTCGCATCAGCAATCGCTGTTGCTGGAGCCACGGGAAACTGGAAACGGGAAGCGCTCATCCAAGGACAGGCACCGCGTGTGACCACTGCACGGGTGGAGCGGTATAATGTCACTACCTTTGAGAATCCTGCCCACGACCCTCCAGTTCATCATTTGCCTCCTGCCGCGTCAGTTGCAGCGGGTCAGTTTCGCACGATATGCTACAATAATCATCCTGCTCTTCCATCTTGTGGTTGCTCCTTTGATATATTATTTGTTCTGAGTACGGTGTTACTCTGTTCTCCGGTAATAAAGTTCGATTGACTGTGCACGCGCCCAGCTGCACGTTCTGTTCCATGGATCCCAGAAAGGTATGCCTGATGATTTCGCGGTGTTTCCTTCTGGAGACCAGATATTGTCTCCTTTGGTCTAACACCTACTTCAAGAATTCAACAGCGGTGCACTCTGATCTTCCGCTTGCTCCTGAGCATACGCCTTATGCAGTGAGGATATTTGGTTTGTTATCTTTTAGGTTTTCTTTGCCTGCCAATTGCACACTTTCTAAGAATCTCTATAGTACGTTTCGTTGTGCTCGGTTTCATCATTCTTATTCTTTGCTGGTATATATGCTTTTTTGATCCTTTTGTGTTTAGAAAGTCCCGGTACTTATACCGCCTTCAGTCAACCTCGCCGTTCTGAGGCAAATTTAAGCTTACTCCGTCTATTCAGACATCGGAAGAAACGTTTTCGCTCCGTTGGTAGGTCCTGCCCGTTATTATGTTGGTACATTTTGCTTGTTGGGATTTATACTTGTCGTAACCTGGCTGATTTGTGCATGGGACCTACTCCTTGCTACATGTAAATCATGTTTATGATGTAGCATCGTCCCTAGAGTCCGTTTGTCATTGTTTTTGCTCATACTCCTCATGGGTCACTACGACACAACCACATTATCAGTGTTGGATACCTGCAGAATGCTGCATGAAAGGTTTGTTGTGAATAACGAATGCATTGCTCTAAATATCCTTGTGGCATGTCTCTAAGCGGGTCCCAATGAAACGTTGTAGTTATACTACCGAAATGCACTCGCTCCTTTCAACCCTGTGCGTCATACCTTTGAGTCAAATGCTGGAGGCATGGCACCTTAAACGAAACCCCTCTCTAGTAATGGGCAGCTGAAGATTATCCGCTTTCTACACCACTGTCCCTATATTCTATCCCGCTTTTTATCTGCCTTTTCATAGCAAAGAACTGCAAACTTCGTAAGATATATTTTGAGGGCCATTTTTGAAGTACACGTTGTGTGGATGGATTGCGACACGCAATCTCAATGTTGACCGCGATTCCCATTGAAATGAACCTTGGCCATTCGATCACGAGGACCGTAGCTGAATCAGATGGAAACTAGGTGTTGCCCACCTGAAAAGACTTGCAAACAGCTGCGCCATCTTCCAAGCTGAATACACCATTCTGCATCGGATCTTTCAATGTCGGCAAGCTATCAGCTAGGTCGACAGGTGGCAGTCTCTGTAACTTGACAATCAATCGAATTTAGTGTGTGCTGTGTATCCGAAACAGTACATTCAGGAGAACAGTATTTTAATTCCTCTGCGCCTACTAAACTCGGCTTCCAGTGGTATGGCTGGCACACTAAGATTGTTCCCAGCGAACAGACTTACCTGTGCCATTCGATTTCGATGCTCTATCGGGTTCAGCAAGCAGAAGCTGAAGACAAGGTGTGTTACTGTCTTTTCGACCTACTTTAGTGCATACTGAAGGCCGCAGAAAGCTAGTTATCTCAATACATCTGCTTTGTCCTAATGGCTGACCATCGGTACTGATATTGTGCTCGTTTCAGATAGCATGATTGTTCAGGTCGGTCGGTTACCGGAATCCGTATCTCACCTTGGACATCGTTTCGAAGTCGATGCTTGTCATACTAACATTTGTATCTGTTTTTTACAACTGTGCTCCATCCCTGGAGCACGGTGTTCCAACACATTCTTTTGCATCACAAAACATGACGGACACTGAACGATAGGGTGCTCTTAATTTGATCACATCGCCATCACCTCTAGATGGTGCACACAAATGCAGGATTGCTGCTCGACCTGATGATGCGTTTGAACAAGCTCACATAACCCTCACTTTTCCTTTTGGTTGCTTATTTGCCTTCGAGTTTGCGTACTTGTCTACCAAATGGGAATATTTGATTTGAAATATCAGTTATCACTGTCGAATAAGCTAAGCGAGCCGGGTGCTTACCTAATTCGTCTTCAATGGGCTATGTTGTGATCACTCGATGTTAATTCTCCGTTTAGCATATCTCGGCACGGTGGGTAAATCCGCTTCTTCAAATGACCTGACTGAGGCACGAAAGGTGTTTCCATTTGGACATCAGTTCCAAAATCCTAAGACCCATTCTTTACTGACAAGACGAGTATGATAACTCTCAGGGAGCAGTGGCGTATGGGGAAGGTTTATGTGATGGATCAGAACAGCATTGTTAGGCACGCCAGAGCATTTTGGTAACTTATTCCACACGTGTTCGAGAAAGCCTCCGTGATTGAAGTAGTAGTTATGAAAAATGAGATACTGTTTCACTCTCAGTCACGTCGACTGAAACTGCGGATTGATCACTTTGAAGAGCAGTTCCAGCGGTTTGATGTATCAAATTTGTTAACTAAGTTGTCTGATTTCATGTGAGCCGTTTTGATAGCAAATCTCCACTTTGACGAGATTCGGCACGCAATGGGTGTTACTGAGGCGGAACAAGGCGCTTGGCCCAGGGGACATTCCATCCTCATTGCTGAATAAAAATGACCACCCACAAGTGATTGCTCTGATTGGTCCGGTTGACACTGTCGCTAGAATGAAGTGCGTGCGATGAGGCAGGACCTTAACGTGTTGCAATGGTTTGTGTGCCTCAGTGATCCATTGAGCTATGCTGGGTGATGCATTTTTGCGCCTTCAGAGTCACTCATACCAGATTGGTCAATGATTAGAGGCCAGACAAACTCAGTCTCCTGGTCCTCCAGATTGGGGGTTGAAATGAAGGTAGCTCCTTATTCCTTAAAACGGACTCTTTGTAGACCAACACGAAACCCGCTGCCTTGCTGTCAGGTTTTTGAACCAAAGGCTCTGGTTGAGAACGCTAATCGTTCTCATGTCTAGACCGGGGCGACCTGATAGTATCCACCCCACGTAAACCTCTGAATCCTTTCCCAAACAATTTCCTGATCCTCTGGCCATCGCAGAGAACAATCAACGGTGCCGTATCTGCTGCATCGAGCAGGGTGGATAGGGGTTTGAATGCTACTGCTCCAGACTTCCCATCTTCTTACTCCCCCTCTTACGCTTTTTCGCCCTTATCGTCCCATTTCAGCTTCACTTTTATCTCCCCTGTTTTCAGCCCCCAATTCTTGGCTCTCCCCCACCTTGCTTCAATAATCGCTTGTCTTTTAGTTTCAACTCACATGTGAAAACGGAGCATTATTCCTGCCCCGTCAACAGGCCCATGTCCAATCAAGCGTTCAAGCCCAGTTCATCGGCTTCCATTTGAAGCCCTCGATCCTGCTTCAGATTGGCATACCTCTGTGTACGCACGTTGATTCAGCTCTGTCAACAGGCAGCACTTACCGGAACATTAGAGACACTCTGGATCGATATCTGCTGCTTATCGGAGACCCGCCTGCAAGACTAGCTCTTTGCTCACTCTGCGATCCCCTTCAGGTGACAGTAGCTGCACTTTATCATTGCGCCTATCTGGTGACGATGCAGCTTCGAGTACCGGCCAAACCGATGTTGGTATTACCCTGAGTCCCCGGACTGAAGCTACTCTGGTTGATTGGATTCCAATCAGAAGTCGGATGTGTGCGGTCCTATTGGCTGACTCGTTCAAAGCTTCAAAGTCGCGTACGACCAACAGGTGTCTATTTGTTATCGCTGCCTATGCACCGACAAACTGTAGCGATGACTCGGTAAAAGACGACTTCTATCGTCAACTGAACCAGCTCCTTCGCCACAGAAGAAGCTCAGACACTGTTGCGCTGGCGGGGGATCTGAACGCTCAAGTTGGAAAATTATCCACTGATAAACTGCATCTGGGCGGCCAACATGGTGTAGACTCCCGTAATGATAACGGTGAGCTGTTACTTCATTTGTGTGAAGATGCTCGCTTATTTCTTGCGAACACTAATTTCCGACACAGCACCCACCGTAAGGTGACTTGGCGCCCAACGGCCTCGAACCAGCTATGAACGCAAATCGATCACATTGCTATCACTTACCGATGGAGAGGCTGCGTCTAGAACTGTCGCTCGATTTGGAGCACAGGTGTGCACTTGTATGTGCTGACCTGCGGATGCGTCTTGGCGGACGCCCAAGACGACGCTGTGAGCGCATCGACACCAGCCAACTGGCAAAACCAGCTGTTCTGAATGCCTATCAAAGTACGCTGTCATGCGCGTTGAGTAAGCGCTCAATGGATGCAGTTGAAGCTCACTGGTCTCGTATTCACCAGACCTTATTAGCAGCAGGAAAATCCTTATGTGGTATGTCTAATCGCCAACATGGACATTGGATCTCTTCTCGGTCTCTGGAACTTATCGCGTAGGTCGGGCAGAGTGAGGGCTTATAGCAAGCTGTCGTCGCTCTTTATTATTTCCAGCGGTATGAGACAAGAGTGCCCGCTGTCACGTTTCCTCTTCAACTTCGCTATTGATCAAGTCATGGAAATCGCGTCCACAGAACACGAATTAGGTGTGGATCTGCTCATAGGAGAACGAATTCTTGACTTGGAGTATGCTGATAATATTGCCTTAATCTGTGACAGCTCACAAACGTGCCAAGCTGCACAGGACAGATTAGCACTGGCTATCCGTCACTTCGCGCTTTGCTTCGCACTCTCGAAGTGCAAAATATTCCTCCAAGATTGGTGTGGACCGCCTCCTACACTGACCCTTGGTGGGGATCAGCTAGAGGTCGTTCAGAAATTCAACTACCTGGGAAGTTGTATCAGCGCCCATGGGATTGAAGATGAGATCACGAACCGGATAGTAAAAGCTCGATGCGCTATTGCTAACCTTCGCCACTTATGGCGCCGTCGCGACATCACTCTCGACCTGAACGGTAGAGTGTACAGTGCAGCGGTACGTTCGACCCTACTGTACGGTTGTGAAACCTGGCCCCTAAGATCGGCGAACATGAAGAAGCTAGTTACGTTCGACCATCGGTGCCTTCGCAATTTAGCGCACATCTGGTAGGAACACCGCGTGAGCAACGCGCATGTTCGACGCCTTGTTTACGGCACAAGAAAAGGAAATGAACTGTTCAGCACAATTATTTCATGCACCAGGCTCCGATGACTGGGCCACGTGTTACACATGTCAGCCCACCGACTCCCTCGACGTGCGTTGTTTGCGCTCCGTGGGGTGTGGATGTAATAAGAGGAAGGGTGGCCAAGCGATGACTTGGTCGAAAGGAATGAAGTCCCTCACTTCGAAGCTGGCCTCAATTGGAGCGTCTCAGCTCCCTGGTTGGGGTCCGAAAAACGTTGAACACGTTTGGCTGGATACACTTGCTGATATGGCAGTGGCGTTTGTGCTGTGAGTTTCTTTGCCCCACCCCATCCCTCTTAGTCTCCCCTCCAACCACGATCCCACTACTTAACCTTATGTAATTTTGCATGGTAATTTTTGCTGCATATTAGTCGGCTGGTAGCTTATCGTCTGTTCCTGGCAGTTCAGCTGGCTTGCTT